GCTCGGGTGTGAGATACGTCTTCCGAATGATGTATTACGGCCTAAGGTTACGCAGCGGCCACTTGCGTCAGGCGTGGGCAGAAGTCCGCTACCAGAGGGGCCGGTGTACGTGTTGGATACAACGCCGGACCACCAAACCTAGCAACCTGTGGTGGTACGAAAGAGAAAAAGCACTGTGCTGTATGTGGTGTCGAGTGGACCGCTGTCTTTCCTTCGGAACGTTAATCAGTAACGCAAACGATGGATCGAACACAATATCTTCCACTTCCAAGTTGCCGTTCGATGTACCGCTGGACACGTTTGGACGACCAAAAAGTGTGGAGCTCAGTGAGACGACGGAAATGCGTGCAGAACCATGCCAGGAAGTCACTCGAAGACCTACACGGACAACGCAATCGATCCGACGTACACAGATAAGTCTTGCACTTCATTCCTACCAGTCTGGAGAAAGTGTTTCCAGAGGGCAAGATGTCACACAGGCAATTCGGTGTGTTAAAAGTAAGACGTCGTCCCACATGTCTGACCGTGAAATTCACTCTCACACTGCTATACTGTCGTTCATATGAATGAGGCTCCTGACTATGCGAAGCAGTCTGTTTGACACACCAACTCACCTTACGATATATTGTAGGCTGTCCTGCCTGCTTCATGTGACTTGACATCTGGTCAATACATTGTCCGGCGTAGTGAAGTTTTTGTTCTGATGGCTCTATGCCCCATTAGCCGCCAGTATAACAGACACTTCAAGGGGTGCCCCGTCCCCTACGCAGGCTAGAACCCGCGCCATCGGATTACAAAGCAGGCCACGAGCCCGCTACGAAAACAATGACTTGCAGAGGCGAACTACGCTGTGATAAGGGATGGACTATGAGATATACCCTAGACGGGAGATCGCACAGCAGACAACAGTTATGAATACATTCAGCTGAAGAGGTGCGGACATAAGGACCATCTACCCCGACGTTGACAAGTGCACTGTTTAGTGGCCAGTATAAACAGTAATCGCAATAAACTAAGGATTATGAGCAACGGGGGGTTCAGTGTGTGAGCTTAGAAGCATGTGTATGCCCATCGTGACAAGACTGGACCTTAACGCGGTACAACGGTTTACGTGCTTCAACGAGCCATTGGGTTATGCTGGATGGTTGTCTATGCACATTCCGAGCCACTCATGCCAGACCAACACAGCTTTCTGGTTTTCCAGATTGGTGGTCGGAGCGAAAATAGCGCATTATTCCATAAAACGGACTCACTGTAGCCCAATGTGAAAACCGCACTGCGTTGCCGTCAGATCCCTGATTTAAAAGACATGCATTCTTGATGCGCTGGCTGTCGCAAACGATTATCAACTGCTCTCTATCTGCTGCATCGAATGGGGTGCATAGAAATGAGGATGCTACGGCCCAAGCCTTCCCGTCTTCTTACCAGTCATCGTGCGTTTTTATCTTTGTCGTCCGCCGTTAAGGTGCTGGCGCTCACCACTGTGGAATATCCGTCAGCCCGTTCTTGATCTCGATGGGCGGTGGTGATGGTGGTGGAGGAGGAGGCACGGCTTCGGTTGTTTCTTGGTGCAGACTACCTAGACACGAATAGGTACACTGAACAGATGACTCGACTTCAGAGTTGAACACTGCCTGAATGAGGCAGTATGTAGGCTGAAGGGATGCAGGCTCATCAGACATTTGTCGCTAGACACTGCTCGACAAGGGATACATGATAAATGCTTGAGAGACCACCGCTTGTCCACACCACCCACGGGGCACGATAATCATCTGGAGGTGCATTGAAATTACCTGGAGAGTTGTACTGTCGTTAGTTTTCGTGGTCAGTGTGATGGTAGTATCAGTTCAAAGTGAGCAGATGAACCAACCGAGCAAGCCCGACAGTCAATGGAAGGCGGACGTGACGGATTCGTTTAATGAACTCGGACTGGCCGATATTCGTGTGTGATTCACCGATTGTTTAATTGAAGCAAAGGAAGAACCTCATCGACTCAGAAGACTTGTTAGTTATGGACTTGAACCTAAAATTAACACCGAGGAGTTTGGCTTGCTAAACATGCTGCAAATTTCGCTGAGCTGTTTTTGCCGAAGAAACGCTTGTACCTGAAGAACTGAGTTCCGCAACAGTCAGCACATTCATACAATATATCTCGTGACAGACCAGCCGGAAATGAATCAGCGAGTCAACAGTATATGAAAGTAATCCCAAGTCAAACAACTTGTACAAACGCCAATGATGAAGTCCAAATTCGACAACCAGATTGCTGAGCTAAAGCGTCGCCACGAAGCAATGTACAATCCTGGTCTCGGATGTGTTTTAATAGCTAGTGCGGAGTTAAATCTCAAACTAGATGCAAGACCAGTTTGCAAACCAAAACCTCAAGTGCGTATGCAACGCATAGGATAGTAGAAGCAAAGCTAAATCGGTTGCAATCATAATGCGTAAATGAACGCGTGCATTATTCAGAATGGATGGTACTTATCGTATTTCTTTGAGTTGACTTAACGACCGGATTAAATTTCATTTCAGAGATGTACCAGTATCCCTTACCTACACCAAAATTAACGGTGGTAGAGGGTTAGCGAAACGTACCCCTGCTGATGCGTACCTACAAGTCATAGTAGCTGAAAGTTGTAGATTACTTAGACTAAAAACGCATCTTGGATATTCCGAGGATAATCAATCATTCAACCTTACACACATTACCTAGAGATGGAAAACACCCCTGCCATTGTGCCGCAATATATCAGAAGCAGAAACAAACGCGACACAAGCACAGCAGCTTAGCCATCAGTAACGAGTGGACTTCGTTCCGGAGAGCTAATAGCCATCATTATACTGCAAAAAGTTATATTATGCTTCAGGAATGAGATCGTGGTTAGAAGGGCAAGATAAACGGAAGGGTGATGGACAAACAAAGTCACAACACAAATGCCCCTGAGGTCGGCTCGTTATTATGATAACAAACATGTTCATGTTCATACATGTTCATGGTGTTTCGGATCCCAGCGAGAGACCAACCGAAACCAACTTTGAACCAAGGGCCTTCATACTTCTCGATCAAGTTAACGCCTCGTCACTCCACCTCTTCTTCCATCTACACCCTTGGCGCGCAGACAATGCACCTCGCAGAAATCGGCGGGTTGGAATGCTCAACATATAGCCCAACCATTGGAGCCTGGTTCGTTAAATAACGGTGATGAGCGGTTCACTTCCTTTTCCGGTGAAATAAATGAGGTGTCGGACACGCTCATTGTTCAAGTGGTGTTCCCACAAGACATGGGTAGAACGTAACTAGCCTCTTTACGTCTTCCGGTCAAATTGGCCAGATTTCACAACCATTACGTAGGGTCGAACGTGTGGCCACAGTGTGCACTCTGCGCTTCAGGGAGAGTGATACTGTGGCAGCACCAAAGGTTGTGAAGGTTAGCAAACGCGCTTAGAGTCTACGCTATTCGATTCGTGACCTCGTCTTCGGCTTCACCGTCGCTGATACACTTGCCTAGATAGGTAAATTTCTGAACAACTTCTAGCTGATCACCATCAACGGTCAACGCAGGATGACATCGATATTAATCCTGGAAAAAAGCTTTGCCCTACGAGGGTGCAAAGCAAAGCCCAAAACGGCTGGCAACCAGTGTTTAAATATCCAGTGCTGCTTGTCACGTTTGGGAGCTGTCATAGATGAGGGCGATGTCGTCAAAAAGTCATTCATCTGGGAGTATCTCTACACCTTCTAAGTCGTGTTCTGTGAACGCGTAAAAAGCCCGGAGAATATTTACATATTTCTCGGGCACACCTTTCCTGGGCAGACATTCCTAAAGGATATATTGACGGACTGAATCAGAGGTGCGTTTGATGTACAGGAATACGACAACGGTGGGCCGCTAATATAAGCGACCGTGCTCAAACAATTTGCGCAAAGCAAAGATATGATCAACATAGCCCTGATCTCGACGAAACCCGGCTTGCTCATGAAGCAGACTTTCGCGAGTACCAATCAATCTGTGAAGGATCACACAGGCAAGCAATTTGGAAGCGATGGACATAAGATTGATTCATGTGTTGCGTTGACTCTGCTAGAGTAGAGAGTAGGCCAATCCCCCAGTAAGGAAGAGCACTGCGAGTACGCCGCAAACGCTGCAGTTTATTACACCGAAACGTGAACCAGAAGTGAGTTAAACTACAACGTAGAGCCGGCACTGGCTATCGTTCGATCGCTCATGGGAGTTTGCAAATTAACACTAGTCTGTCAATCTATATCATTTCCGTGAATTCCAAGTTGACTATTGGGCATCAGCTGGCTCTGACGTTGGGCTCGGCTAGTTCGAGTATTCCGGGCAACACGAGTGCGAGCTCTATTGGCCTGCGCGCGAGAAACCATTCCCTCCTAGCATCTTCCCTCTTACTTTGTTCGGTGTATGATCTCCGTCTTGATTTACTTCGGAACGGAGTTACTGCCTTTCGTGTTCGGCTGGATTTACGTCTGGGCTGTGGTGTGATATCTGTTGTTGGCGCCAGGTTACAAGCAGCTCTGACCTCAGTAGACCCTTCAATTTCAAACGCCTCTAATGGAAGGACAAGACTAAGCGATGGAGCACCACTATTTTGATCACGACAAAACGTTTGACGAAGATGGTTAAGCGTGGTGCCTCCGCAATAGCGAACCAGCCTGAACGTCATACAGAACAAGCCCAATAGGCCTTTTAATGATGCCGACAGCCAGCTTTTAATGACCACAGCGAGAATCCCTGACTAAAGCATGATCCCGTGGTCGAAAAGTCTGTTTGTCTTGCGTTACAGTCGACAACTGGCCCGAAACTGGTAAGATAACACCATGTGCTAAACATAAGTTCCGGCTCAACAGGGCTTCAGTGGGCGAGCAGCCGTTCGGACCTTGCAGATCTGCAGTTGCGCAGTAGTTCAGTAGGAATGCATTCAGTATTTCTGTTGTCATTCCCTCCCCCTGGATTTCAGGAAGGCACGTTTAAATGTGTCGAAAATCTCCCGACCTGCCTATTTGACTGTGGATGGAAAGTTGCTTCAATGTGAGTGAACACGTACCTTTTGTGAAAACAGCGAACGACTGAGAAGTGAACTGCGTACCGTTGTCGAACACGCTTGTTTCCAAAAATCTAAATATGGAGAACAGATGTCGTAATTCCGCAATCGCGGAAGTTGCAGTGGTTGAGTTCATAGTGAAAATTTCCGGCCACTTGCAGAAGGGATCCAGGACCACTACGAGATTTAGTTCGTTAATCGGTCCGGCGAAATCAATGTGGAGGTGCCCCATGGTCTGTCTGGTTTTGGCCAGGGTTCTGCTGGGTGTCGGTTGGGCATCTTTTGAGTGGAGGCACTTCTAAAACAGCTTCAGTACAAATGCTCCATCCATAGCGGGCCAGCAGATGTAACTCCTCGCTAAGGCCTTCATTCGGTTTATACCCGGATGTCCCGAATGAAACTAAGTTAAGATTCCGCGGCGGAGTCCTGACGAAATGACAGCGCAGCCATAGACAATAGATAGTCATCATCATCATCATCATCAAATACATGTTAGCTGAGGGTGAGAAACACCTCAGCCAATGCGCCGCAATACAAGAGATAAGATATTAAAAATTACACTAAATAAACCGAAAGCGAATGATACAAAAATATTATATTATGCATTTTGTATGAGATCGGAATTGGAGAGGGGATATGAAGGGGAGGTGGACAATGAAACTCATAACACTAACGCCATTGGGGCCGGCTCTTTGCCATATCGCCAAGTGTGTTCAATCAAACGTGTTCATCGGGGTGTCAACTTCGGAGTGAGGGACTTCATTCCTCCTGACCAAGCCATCCCTTGGCCCTACCTCATCCTCTTTCTACTGCACCCCCGACGCGCAAACAATGCGCGTAGCGTAGCGCAACATGTGGCCCAGCCATCGGAGCTTGGTGCGTGATATAATGGTGCTGAGCGGTTCACTTGGTCTTCCTGCACCAAATGCGAGACGCCGAACACGCTCACTGCACACGCGACGCTTTTACCAGGCATGAGCTAAGCTACGAAAATAGCGATGATCGAATGTGACTATCCTTTTTATGTCCGTCGACCTGACTGGCTAGGTTTCACAACTGCACAACAGGGTTTAACGGACGACGGCATTATAAACATTAGATAGTGCGCCAGCGTCGCTGGTAAAGGTGTCGGATTTCTCTAGCTGAGCAATGTGATGTCCAGGAAGATCGACGATACATCATCGCCTGTTGGAGTGCGTTGTTCGATTCAGCCGCTGTGCGAACCATGTCAAAAATCACCGGTAGCTGGTTTATGGTCTCTAAAACGGTGGTTCTAATATCAGTTGCTACAGTGACGTTTGCTATAAGCATTTCTCCTGCTTCCGAACTGTGATCACTTAGTAGTCGTGAAAGTGCATCTGCTTATTCAATGTTACTAGTGAAGACGTAGTTGATAATGAGGCCTTAGTTCAGTAATACTGTGGAATAACGCTGTAATCAGTTCGTTGCAGACACTAGTATGTCTTTTTGGAGGCCGAAAATGGCCAACGGCGGTTTGTGGTCGCTGATAAGGGTGAAATGTCTCCCGTGGAGCATTCTTTATGCAAAGGATGATAGCCAAAGATTCTTTCTCAATTGGTCTATAACTGGGTTCCGTTGGTGTTATAAATCGAGCGACATCAGCTATCGCCTCCGTGGTTCCATCAGGATATTCGTGGGTTATGACTGCTCCCACTCCACGACCTGACGCGTCAGTTGTCAGTATGATCGGAAGCTTTGGATAAAAAGGGGTCAGCAGCGATGCAGATTTCGTGCTTTTTCACTTGCTCTAAGGAATTTTGACATTCGTTTGACCGCGCCAATATGCATCCCTTGGTAAGCAGCTGATGAGAAGGTTCGTGCAGTCAGTGCATAATTGGTAGAAACGCGCCATAATAGCTAATGAATCCGAGGAATGTCTAAAGTTCGACAACATTAGAAGGTGGGGGCATTTTTATGACTGGCTCAATGTTTGTCGGGTAGTCCTGTGGCCCTATTCGACTTCAGAAGTCCGACCTCAGATGCAACTTATGAGCGAAAGAGGTTGAATACAAAGGGGCGATCCATGGTCCGGAGCGATCAATGGCCGGCGAGAAATCTAACAATGCAGGCCGATTAAATTGTCCATCAACACTTCAAGAGTTTCGGCAAACCGTTGACTGGCTGATCATTCTCGTCACAGATAGTTTTACTAACACCACGTCTCTTGTTGCCCGTTGCCCGTATCAGACGGATTAACTTATGAGCAGCGGCCATTTCCATCTCTGACGCACGATGAGGATTCGCGGTCCCATTTCAGACTCGCAATAGGTTTCGCCCTTAAGTCTGCGAGGCCCATTGTGTTCGCTTGCAACCGGAATGTGCCGGCGAGCATCTAGAGGTTGCAGAGACTGCATAGAGACCTAATGGCTATGTTGGATACTGGATTTACCACTAAGAATTTACCGGTTGTTAGTAAGGTCTGGTGAACATGCGACCAGTGACTGACAATTCTATTCAGTGGATGCCTGCTCAACCCGAATGCCAGCGTAATTCGATACGTATTTAAAACATCTGGTTTCACCAGTTGGCTGATGTCTATGTACTCATATGCTCGTCGTGAGCGTCTGCTAAAACGTGTCCGCAGATCTGTACATACAACTGCATGGACAGTGTCTGCACATGTGCTCCAAATGGAGCAACAGTTTGGGTTGCAGCTACTCCAGCGGTAACTGATCGCAATGTCATCGATTTGCGTTCAAGGCTGGTGAGCGCCATGTCACCCTCCGTCGGGTGTTGTGTTGCAAGCCACTGCACGCAAGAAATAGGCGTAACCTCACACAAATGAAGTAATAGCTCACCGTTATCATTATGGGAGCTTACACCATATCGATGACCCAGATGAAGCTCATCAGTGGGCAATTTTCCGATGTGAGCTGTTAGATCTTCACAATTTCTCCCTATTCCTAATTAATCGCCCGAAAATCCTCGGCAAGTATTTTAGCCCGGGCGAAGAAAAAGCAGCAGTCTAATGACCTTGACCACGAAAAATGTGTTAACAAAAATGCCGCCAAACACAGTCAAAACGACGCCAAAACGCTGTGCAACTGCACCAGACCTACGTCAAATATATAGGTGGCTTTATGACTTTCGGCTTCTAGAAAACGAAGGTCAACCGATAAAATTAGCAGCCTCCCTGCCAAAACTCTGCATGCTAGCAATAACGGGAAGGAAAGGAAGGTTCCGGAATCTTCGAAATCAATGGCCAATCAAAAATAATCGATTAATTGCTAAAATAATAAGCTTCTTGATGTTTTAATCCTTTCCCGGATATCTCCCCTCTTGACACGGTTGCCGCGGTGTATGATGATAGCCTGGGATTGAGCTGAAGCCTCCTGGAAGGTGTCCTACGCATATCGGTCCATCGCATTGGCTGTAGTGTTTTGGATTGATGTTCCGTGCTCCGCGGTCTATTATCATTCATTTGATGACAGGGTTCTTTCACGAGCTCTTTAGCAAAGTTGAAGCGGTCCGTCAACAGGTGAAATGGAAGCTCGGCAGATTCTCTTGCTTCTGGTTGACACAGTGTTGGTCGCAGTTGGTTTACATGGCGCGCCCAAACCTGTGTACCAACCAGCACGTCGTAAATGACGTTCCCGCGCTTGACCTGGATCGTGTCTGGCGTCCATTTTGCGTGTCCTTTACGGTAAACACATACAAGTACTGGCTGACCTGGTGTATAAGATCGTTGCTTGCCACCATACCGCCGACTGAAGCCACGTCTCATCTTGAGGATGGTTTCACCAGCTTTGGGCTCTGAGGACGGCCGAACTGTATCAAATGGCATGCGAAGCTTTCTGTTCATCATTGCCTCTGCTGGTGATATTCCACTCGGCGTTTGTGAATTTTGTGTACATCGGTACATAAAGAGGAAGTGGATGATCGCCTACTTTGTCTCCGTCCCTTCTTGATTTGAGGTGTTTGAATGTATTCACAAACCTCTCGGATTGGCCGTTCGATTGTGGGTGGAATGGTGGAGACCACACGTGTTTGATGGCGCAGCGTTGGCAGAAATCCGTCAATGTGGCCAAGTAAACTGTGCTCCATTGTCTGTCACTAATGTTTCAGGGCAGCCGAACCTGCTGAAGAATTGTCGCAACCTCGAGACTGTTGCGCTGGTTTTCGTGCTGCTCATGAGGGACACTTCGGGCCACTTGCTGTAAGCGTCGACCACTATGAGAAAGTTCTGGCCATTGATTGGGCCTGCAAAGTCGACATAAACACGGCTCCCAGGTCTAGTTGGTTTAAGCCACGAGTGGAGTTCAGGCTTCGGCAATGCCCTTGAAGCGGTAGCGCAGTTGCCACAACTTCTAGCAAGCTGCTCCAGCTCTCTGTCCATAAACGGCCAATACATATAACTTCGGGCAAGCGCTTTCATTCGGTTAAGCCCTGGATAACCTGCTGGAACTGTCGCAGCACTCTTTCTTGCAACGCCTGCGGGATGACTACTCTCTCTGAAAACATGACGCAATGGTTCACAATGGAGAGCAAATGTCTTCGCTGATAGAACTGCTACATTTCGGCACATGAACAAGCACGTGGCCAGCTGGTTCTGTGGAAGTGTGTAACCTTCTTCAGGATTGGGTCTCGAAGCGTTTTGGTCAGCACAACATCGGCAGTAACTGGCAGACCATATAGTGCCTCGATCACCAGGAATTTGACAGGTTCAAGCTTAACTGAGGCCATGATGGTGTCCTCGTGTTCTTGCTGCTGAGAATCAATGAGACGTGACAACGCATCTGCCTGGCCCATCGAATCGGTTGACTGATAACGGGTTTCAAAATCATAGCTCAGCAAGGTCCTCCAGGTTGGGGGTTGGAATGAGAGTGGCTCCTTATTCCTTAAAACGGACTCCTTGTAGTCCAGTGCCAAACCCGCTGCCTTGCGGCCAGGTTTTTGAACCAAAGGCTTTGGTTGAGAACCCTAATCGTTTTCCCGTCTAGGCCTGGGCCACCTGACAGTATCGTGCCCACGCAATACAATGAATCTTTCCTCAAACAAATTGCTGACGCTCTGGCCACCGCAGAGGATAATCAACGGTGCCCTATCTGCTGCATCGAGCAGGGTGGATAGGAGTTTAGATGCTACTGCTCAAGCCTTCCCATCTTCTTATTCCCCTTGCGCTTTTTCACCCTTATCGTCCCGTTCCAGCTTTACTTTTATCCCCCCTGTTTTCAACCCCCAAAATCTCGGCCCTTCCCCACCTTGCTTCAATAGTCACTTGTCTTTTAGTTTCAACTCACATGTGAACGCAGAGCGTCATTCCTGCACTGTCAACAGGCCCATGTCCAAGCAAGCGGCCCATTGCAGTTCATCGGCTTCCGTTTGGAGCCCTTGATCCTCCTTCACACTGGCATGCCTCAATGTTCGCACATTGCTTCAGATCAGTCAACAGGCAGCACTTGCCC